GACAAATGACATCACATGAATAATAAATAACAAAAACCCAAATTACCAACAAGCCAGTAAAATCACCTCAAAAGGAGGGCACAGAGGACTTGATTAAAACTGGATATTTTTTAAATGAAAAATTCCTATGATTAAAAAGAACGAGTAAAGAAAATCGTTTTTATAGCATGGCCTTCATTTTGCGGGATAATTTTCTTACGTTTGGAAGATTTTTTTTTCTCTTTTTTCGGCTGTCATTTTGATCACCTATGTGGGGACTACTGTTTCCTTTGTTCTGTTTAATTTGTCTTGTTAACGATATGAGCATAAACGGGGGTAATAGTAGTTTATTTTACTTTTGCAGTCCCTGCTGACCCGCATAACTGATATTTGTCTCGTTATGTATTCAGATTTTTATCCCTGGTCCCTGCTACTGCTTATATTTACTTGTATTTGTGCTTTTGTTGTTTTTTACATAATTTTTGTTTAATTTTGCTTTGTTTGTTATTGTGATGGTCAAATAAATAAGAATAATTGAAGAGATGGTACCCATCACGATTAACCAAGATAAACCTTTTGACCATTTGCAGACTATCGTCATATACACAGGCCAAACTAACTACTGAAACAGATTGAATAACAAGTACAAGAGGGAGAAGATTACTAGCAAACATAATGACTGACCCAAGCTTTCACCTTCATTTGTGTATAGTTCTCTTAAATGTAGGAATATCAGAATGAAACATTCTCCAGTGGATATGTTCAACAAAATGACAACAAGATCAGTTGATTTTCACCAACCCTACAGTCACAGATAAAAGCTTAGTTTGGATTAGGCCTTACATAGAGCCAAATTTAGCTTGTATACCAATTGGCAAGGTCAATTATAAATGATTCTTCTGCTGGAAATATTCAATAAAACTGAAAATAAAGTAACATTTTGGGACTGTCCTTTTTTCGTCGACCTCCAAATAAAGTTGCCCATTCATCTCTTGGTTTTCAGCTGCTGTTTTTGCAGTTGTTTCTCAAAACAGAATCAAAACCCACATCCACATACTGTGCATTCCCAATCCATCCCACATTCAAAGGCTCACACCAAGAGGAAGTCGTTTTCCAATTTTATATTAACTGTTAAATCATATGACAAAATATCCAAAGAAGCTGCAGATTGCAACTGCTTCATTTTAAAAGAAAACCATTGATGGTATTATTTGCAGCTGAAACCCTGAATTTTGAAAAAGCAAGATTATCAACCAACTTTCAACACCGCCATAAGTACCAACTCTTGAAAGTCAGTGGTGTAATATTTGACAATATTTCTATGGCAATGCCCTGCAATGCAGGCTGTGAAGAGCAATCAGGTTTGTGTTTGACACATCATAAATGTTCACAGAATTCACAAACATCGTGTATGAAATAACAATTATTTTATAACAATAACAATTATTATTAATTAATGCTGAGCTTCTTCTGAAATTGCAAAAGAAATCTCGCTCACCTTAAAAGTGAAATCTGTAAGGCATCTAAAACTGCTGTTTGATGAGATGACAGAGATGATCAACTGCCCTGTTCTTAGTTTACTGGAAGCCAGTGATGTATGTCCCTCAATAGCCAGCAAACTATGAAAAGCCACACAATACCTGCATTTGGAATTCGGTCAGTAAAAGCAATGGTTTAACAAAAACGTCAAATTATTCTTTATTCAGGCATACTAAACTTAACCTGTTAGGGTGAGACTTTAATAAAAGACTGACAGAATATATCGACAGAATATGTAAAAATGCAAAACATAAAAAAAGGAATGCATGTCATCCAAAAAACATGCAGTTGTCTTCTGCACTTTCACTGGACAGCTCAGAAAAGGACAGAAAATTTTAAAAATTCAAAGCTTTTCTAGATGTTTTGATTCACTGGTTTTTCCAAAGTTGATACCAAAAAGCCTATTTAAATATGAAATCCATACAACTTCGAACAAAAATTTTAAAAAGGCAAATAGATTTCTACTGAATTCAGAAAAAGGATTATTTCTTGAATATGAAATGGCTACCCGCAAGGTTCTTGGGAAATTATTTTATTATCTATTTCTGACAATGACACCAAGGATTCCTTAAAAGTACCCTTGGCACTGTAGCTTACAAGCCTGAAGAAACCTGCTGTGAGGACACAATGAGAAGCAGTTACAGTTTTAGAGGTGGGAAGAAAACCCCAGAGGAATATCCTGGGTAAAACCCACGGAATCAGGGAGGGACTGAAAACCCAATCCACATGCGGACCGAGCCGAATATAAAGTATTCTCTTGGATTTCTGGTTCAAATAGCAATTTCAAGCGTAGTTCACAACTTTTATGACAACGGTTTGGACAATGCATAATGTGGAAAGCTTTGATTTAGTAAATACACTACTCACATTCACGAGACGCAACACTAGCCAAGAAGGGACCACTGCAGAAAGGTAGCCACTAGGAACTGGTATCAATGGCAAGGCGTATGCCGGAGCATAACATCAATGGCATCATGAGACAGGTAACACAAACAGGATGGTTGGGCATCTACGAGGGGGCTGCATCAAGGCCTTGTGGAGAAACAACAGAACAGCACTATCCATGGAGTGGTGATGTTGGTAGGAAAACGTCCACAAATGGTTAGAGCATCAGTGACGAGACACCATACTCAAATTCTTACGTGCATTGTCCAGGATGGGATTCCCTGGTCACTGAATACATGGGTGGAAACGCATCCACTGAGACGGAAGAGCTTCTCAAACAGCTGTGTGGTGGGGACTGGTATCATTCACATCGCTGTGACATCTTAAGGAAAGCAGCATAGACTGGATGGCATCTAGTCTCACTTCAGTTTCTTGGCAAGAATACAAAGATCAAAGAATGGACACTGTTACATACATGTAAGACCGTGGACAAATTTGTTGTTCTTCGCTCCCAAAACAGATGACAGTCAACCAAACAATTTGCATTAATGCACAAATTCAAAATGTTACTCTTTTTCTGTTGCAATTAAAATTCAAACTTTGCATTTGAGATTTGCAGGCTTATATAGCTTATAGCTGAACTCAGAATTGAGTGAATAGTGCATCTTGAAGACCAATTTTTTAGGATATCTGCTCAAGTTGAAGTTTACACCCTATAAGGTACATGTACATGTATGTAACGGGTACATGTACTTGTACCTAAAAATCCTAACCCCTTGTACAATAAAAACACATTGATTCTAGTGACACTATCTCGACAATCTGATGTCTTTACAAGGAGATCAGAGAAAGTGGTCTAATAGGTAGTTGTGGGCTTGAATCTTGATTACATTAGGATTGAATCTTGTTTTAGGAGTGAATGGGGTAGATATTAATTATGAGGCATGGGCTAATAGATTTGGGAGCCAGGAGCCACCACAGGTAATACCTGTACACGTAAATTTAAAAGAAAATCCTGAGAAGACGATGCATCATTATTACAAGAATAAACCTCATCAAATACAATTTCTGAGGCAAATTTAACACAAAGATACTGACGGTGTTGGCACTGATCTTTTGCAAGACAGATTTTCCTAAACTTGTCGGTATTCTCATCAGTCCTAAATGTATTTCCTTTTAAAGCAACCTTTTAATGTTCGGTATGGAGAACTCAGGAGCCAAGGAGAATGTTCAGTATACATGTACCCCAATGTTTGGTACAGAGGTGTTCAGAATAGCGGTATTGGGCTGAATCATTTAAACTGTTCAAGAACTTTACAGCACTGGAACTTAACAAACAGCTGAACTTTTGTGTATAACGTTCACTGCAGTCATCTAAACAAATTTATATTCCTAATGAAAATGCACCATAAAGTAATTGATGCAAAATGAACAAATCTCAATTAACTGCACTTTGACAAATTTAGGAAATTCCAATTGATGCAGGTCAACTTTGAAAAAAAAGTATTCAGAGGAAGCTTCTTGAAAAACAGCAGGCAATTTGTCTCAACAATGATGACTCCTTCAAGATTTAAGGAATGACAAGATGGAAGCACTTTTAAATCTCTACTGGTAAATCTCAAATAATAACACGTCATCACAAATCATCATATCCAAGACGTACTTTTGCCAATGCCAGCTGGTCTTCTTCTGACGACTTCAACTCTCTGACTGTCTACCTCTGCCATTAGCTTGTCCACCTCTGCTGACGTCAGCCTGTACACCTCCGCTGTCAACGTGACCACCTCTGCTGATGTCAGCCTATGTACCTCCACTGTCAACGTGACCACCTCTGCTGACCTTAGCACAACTATTTCTGCTGAAATCATCCTGTCTACCTCTACGGTCAGCGTATCTACTTCGGCGGACATCAGCCAGTCTACCTCTGTCAACTTAAGCACCAATGCTAACTTCAGCCTGTCAATATCTTCAGCCAATCTCTAACGACTTCAGGCTGTTCTCGCTCGAACAGTAGGAACACAACCCAAGAATACTGTTCTCAGAACAGTATCATACACCACCTCCTTGTCAGAGTTTTACACGAACACATGGAAAAACTCATGAGATTTGGATTTTTAATCACCTACAAAAAGTAGAGAGATGGCTTACAAAGCCGGAGACATTGGAAGTTTTGCAAAATTAACATAATTATTTTTCACAACACAGACATGAATGCTTCTGTTTAAATAGAAAAGAATTCAGCCCAGTTATCCAAACAATAACTCTCGAATTACGTACATGGACACTGCCATGTTGCATGTTGCTTGCCACTCACTACCAGCAATAACCGCTTGTTTGTTCCTTGCATTCGAGCGGCCAACCCATGAACAACAAATCAAGCTGTTCGTGAACGTACGAGAACAAGCCATCCGAACTCAGCCAATCTGTAGGCAATTTATGCCAATGGGGGAAGATGCTTCTTATATGTTTTTCTATCAAAACTCTGAAACCCAAATTTTACTCCTTGAACATGTCTCAGGAAATGTTGACCATTGATCTTTGTTAATTTGCAATGAAACAGCAAGGAAAAGGAAACTTAAGCAAGGAAGTGAGAACAATTCCAGTAAAGTGGGTGCATTCAACAAGCTTGCCCTAGTTACAAGGGTTTAATCTTTATCTTGTCCCTTTGCTCATCACCTAGTGCCCAAACAGAGCGCTGGGAAGGGCTCATAGCCTTGCACAGATTTTAGTGAAGGAAATATGTCACACGGGATCTAGTGACGTGCAGAGCATTTTGGGTAAATTTCAGCCAGGCGTGTGAGCTCGCTCAATGCGTTGAAATAAAAGTGACAGTTTATCAATTCAATACTTTTTTTTCTTTTTCTTCCTCATTGCAGAAAATATTTTTACTACACTTTATTCATTCATCCAAACTGATCAAAATAACCAACGATTTGAAAAATATTGCCAAAAGACATGTGATCGGTGATACTTCAGTACCACTCTGTGATTATACCAAGGCCTTGTTTTTATCATATAGCCAACACTTTTGCCCGAACCAAAAAATGTAAATAACACTTCAATAACAGGAAGTAATAACCCCACGGTCAAAGGTCATGCATAATGTAGCCAATCACAGTGCAAACTCATCATCCTTTCCCACCACCCTGTTTGCTGGGTGACGAGCTGTCTTGCTTGCACACACACAGCCATCCCAAGGTCAGGGTTGCCCCAGTGTAAATTCACGTCCCCACTGTCTTGCTTGCACACACAGCCATCCCAAGGTCAGGGTTGCCCCGTATATGCTAAACAAAAGTACCAACTTTTTTTTGCTCATCAAAAGCCTAGGGTGGATCCAGGACCAAAATTCAGGAGTGGGCAGTGCATTTGTTTTGCTTGTTAAATTTTTTTGAGGAGTTTTGCTTTTTGCACACAGTTTGAAAGGGAACTTCGTTACCTTTCAAAACAAAAGAGAATAAAAAAAACAGAAAGAAATGGGTCCCATTCCTCCCCAGCTTCCTTTCCCAGATACACCCATGAAAGAATGTGCAACACATGAGACTCTTACCTACATGGTAACCGGCATCTTCAACTTTGGAGATCTCTTCATTGGTTGGTCCACTTACATGACGCAGGATATGTTAGTAAGCCTCAACGTAGGCAGCCATTTCAGTACACTGACCTTGCAACAAGGTGCTTCCAATTCTAAACACAGAGAAAGCCACAAAATAACAAGAAAATGTCATCTTAGCTTTTTCAGAATGAGCAAAATATCCTTGTTTCAACCCATCAGCACCTGCACTCTTATACATGTTATATTTGGTCACTGTTAAAATCCATTAAACCATGCAGAGCTTGGCAGTGAAGGGTGTAACAGGCTGAATGGAGTCTGATTGGTACAATCAGAGTTCCCACAGAAATGGGAAAACCAAATTCGATGAACTTTTCAGGACTTTCCAGGACTAGAATATGACAATTTCCACGGCCCCTCATACCATTTTGCAGAGTTGTTATTGGCTGCATTAAAACCCTCCTTTGGTTTTACAGCACAAATATGCAGAAGTGCCCACAGTCACTCTCTTGCATGTGTTTTCTATATGGAACA